CCAGTGGCGGCTGCAGAATGGCAAAGATTGCTGCCTAGTCCCAGAGGGGCACCCACCAGATTGAAGCTTTGTCCCAGAGGGGTACCCGCCAGATGCCAGCCAGAGCTCTCATGTATGAGGTATCTGTCGATCCCTTCTGGGAGGTGTCTCCCTCTCAGGAGGCACAGGGGCAGGGACCCACTTGAGGAGGCAGTCAGTCTCTTAGCAGAACTCAAGTGCTGTGCGGGGGATTCACTGCTCTCTTCAGAACCAGCAGGCAGGAAGGTTTAAGTCTGCTGAAGCTGCACCCTCAGCTGCCCCTTTTTCCAGGTACTCTGTCCCAGGGAGATGGGAGCCCCTGGCTATCTATAAGCCCCTGACTGGGGCTGCTGCCTTTCTTTCAGAGATGCCCTGCCCAAAGAGGAGGAATCTAGAGAGGCAGTCTGGCTTCAGTGGCTTTGTGGAGGAGGTAGAGTGGGTTCTACCCAGTTTGAACTTCTCAGTGGCTTTGTTTACACTGTGAGGGGAAAATCACCTATTCAATCCTCAGTAATGGTGAATGCCCCTCCCCCCAGAAGGCTCGAGCTTCACAGGTCGACTTCAGACTGCTATGTTGTCAGCAAGAATTTCAGGCCAATGAATCTTAGCTTGCTGGGCTTTGTGGGGGTGGGATTTGCTGAGCAAGACCACTTGGCTCCCTGACTTCAGCCCCCTTTCCAAGGGAGTGAACGGTTCTGACTTGCTGATATCAAGGCGCCACTGGGGTAAGAAGAAAATTTCTGTCACTAGCTCAATGTCTGTCCAAACAGCTGCCCAGTTTTGTGCTTGAAACCCAGCTCCCTGGTGGTATAGGTACTGAGGGAATCTCCTGGTCTGTAGGTTGCTAAGACCATGGGAAAAGCATAGTATCTGGGCTGGAATGCACTGTCCCTCACAGCACAGTCACTCAGGGCTTCCCTTGGCTAGAGGAGGGAGTTCCTTGACCCTTTGCACTTCCTGGGTGAGGTGATGCCCCACTCTATTTCTGCTTGCCCTCTGTGGGCTGCAACCACTGTCTAACCAGTCCCAGTGAGATGAGCTATCTATCTCAGTTGGAAATGCAGAAATCACCTGACTTCTGACTTCTGCATTGGTCTTGTTGGGAGCTGCATACTGGAGCTGTTCCTATTTGGGCCATATTGCCCCAGTCATCCACCACATTAGTCTTTTTTTTTTTTTGAGACGGCGTTTCGCTCTTGTTACCCAGGCTGGAGTGCAATGGTGCGATCTTGGCTCACTGCAACCTCCGCCTCCTGGGTTCAGACAATTATCCCGCCTTAGCGGGAGTACTCAAATCTCCTGAGTAGCTGGGATTACAGGCACGCGCCACCATGCCCAGCTAATTTTTTGTATTTTTAGTAGAGATGGGGTTTCACCATGTTGACCAGGATGGTCTCGATCTTTTGACCTCATGATCCACCCACCTCGGCCTCCCAAAGTGCTGGGATTACAGGCTTGAGCCACCGTGCCCGGCCACATTAGTCTTAATGACTAATAATAATACTTATAAAATTTATAACCAATCTTTTTTGAGGCTTTAATTACTCTCTTAGTCCAGATCCTCCAGAAAACAAAGAGTGAGGCAAAAGCTTAGGTGAAATTTTTTATTATGGAATACAATCCAAGGAAAGCTTGTGTGAGTAAAAGGAGAATGCGATGAGGAAGAAGGGGTTATATTCTCTATTCCAACTAAGGATATATTCTGAGCAAATCTTGGTACCACCTGGTATCAAATGCAACTGATTACTCACTCTTAAGCGTCTCCTTCCAAGAAAGCATATTGAACTACTACCACATCTCTGGATGGCCCATCTTGGAAAAAGAATTTATCTATGAACCCTTATCTTTCATTGCTCAAAGAATTCCATAAAGTGTGTCAGCTTCCTTGAACTTTGGTTGTGTTTTCCTTGTGCTTGTGTACATTGTGAGCGAGTGAGGTGGGGTTCTATGCCTCAGTGGCAGCAGGAAAGCCATGGGACAGAAGATGCAAGGTGATCCATTGGCATGAAGTCCATGCTGTTGGGAAAGCCTACTGGAGCCTATATGGAGTTGGTCATCAAAGTGAAGGTTCAAGTGGCCCAATTGGACAATGGCTCCAGAGACAAATGGGACCCAGAGTACCTGAGGTGGTATGTAAGAGATATCTGACATAATCACTTTTACCTTTGAATCTTAGTTACTATGTTAACTACCATCCATAAAATAGAGGCAATAAACTATCTCTGGGTGATTTTAAAAAATATATGTATGAAATGGAACTCATCATGTGTTCTTTAAAACAAGATTCTTTTTTATTCTGCTTTTTTCATTAATGGCATTAATATTTTTTGCTAATGGCAGCAATTATTTAATTCATTTAACATAGAGAGCTTGGAGTTAATTTTGACTCCTATTTGTTACTCTGCAATCACAGTCAGAAGCCTAGACATGTAGAACCTAGCTCCACAATGCCCCTTGAACCTTCTGGCTCATTTCTTTCCCATTGTCATCACTTTAACTCAGTACTCTTTGCCTGAAATAGTCACCTGATATTTTCTGTACCTCCTGCCTCTCCCTTCTCTTGCCAGAATAATCTCCCTAAAGTATCTGATCCTATTTTTTCTTCTTCAAAACATCATTTGCTTCCAAGAGTCTACTAAATTAAATCAACCTTCATTATCTAGGACCTAGAAGAATCCTCAAATCAATTAAACCTGCCTTTTCTACCTAGTTCTGTTTTTTTTTAGCATCTGTGTACCTAATTGCAGCCAAATTGGATTTCACAGGTTTCCTTGGATACAAACTTTGCTTTCTTAACTTTATTTCTTGTTTATATTTTCCTGCAATCTTAAAATGCCCTTTCTGCTACTGCTTTCTTCTTCTTCAAAAGCACATCTTAAATTGCCCTTCCTGCATATGCTTCTTCATCAGAAGCACACATTCTCCTTTCTTCAAAGCACATCTTTAAAACTATCTCCTTCAGGAAGCCTGGGCCATCCCATCAAGACTTTATCTCATCACTGCCAGTGATGAGTTTCTTGCCTGGGTGTCTTTGCTTCTAATGTAGGCTATTTTTTAACCTTCCCTTAAACAAGTAGGGGATCATGCAGCTTCTCTATTCTCAGAGCTATTGGAGAATACACCAAGTCACTGTCTAGTTTAGGAGCTTGGCCCAATGTAGGGAAGAGATAAGTTTGGCAGCCTTGGATGAGGGAAATTGGAGGAAATTATGCTGCCAAGATGACCGTGCTTTGTACTCCTAGATTGAGCCTTTGATCATACGAATCTATGGAAAGGTTTTGTTTCAGCTGCCATCGGCTGTGAAGGGTGCCTGAGATAGATACTGGCTGATTTTGCAATGATGGGTAAACTACAGTATTTTCTGATTTGAATAAGCTCACAGAGCTAGGAGGGGGATAGAAGGAATGTAATGTGTTTTTCTCTTTCCTGATGGATTAGGAAGGTGAAGTGGACACTGACTCTTAATGTGCCCAAAGTGTTTACTTGTAAATGAGCTCTAAATTCAATACCTTTACAAAATGTAATAAACAACAACTCAAGCAGTGAATCTCTACCACAGTCATTTGATATAATTATCCTCCAGGGTAGTGTGAAATATGGTTTAATTGACACTATTTCAAGCAGCATTTGCTTTATTTGGGCAGAGTTTTTTTTTTTCTACTAATAACAGAATTGGAGAAAAATGACTCTTACTGCATGTAAGCTAACATTTTGTACCAGTGAGAACATATTTTGGTAGGAAAAAGCTAAAAGCTAAAAATAGTATCTTGGAAAAGTCATTTTTATCAAGCATATTCTGACTGAGAGAGGTCTTAAAACTCTTATCTTAAGAAGTATTTAATCTTAGATGTGATTTTTTTTTTTGGTCATTTTAAGAAGGAAAGAATTGCTCTTTGATATTGATATTGGATATTAAACAAGGTTTCTGGTTTCAAAGTAAATAGGATTTTATTTATTGAGAAGAGGCCTGCTCTTAGAGAGGAAGCTGGCTAATTTTGGCCTGTTTCCCTGGGATCATAATTTCCTATCTGATGGGAATTTGAGGAGCGTGATTGTTTATATTCTAGAAAAGACAGTGGGAAGAAGAGAGGAAACAGCATCAAGGGGCTGACCCTTTGATCCAGCTGATAGCCACCAAATCCAAGATTTTAGAATTAGAATTGCAGGGCATTGGGAGTGTATCTTCCTAAGGCGAGTGAAATATGATTCTGAGTTCTATGAAGAATGCAGAACTCTCTCTTGACCATCTCTTGAACCTGCTCTCTATCATTTCTCCCACTTCTTACTCGGTAATCACAGTCAGAAGCAGTCAGTAGTTCACAGTCAGAAGGGTAAATGGCACAGCTTGCTAGCTGGTCTCCTTGCCACTAGATTTAACCTGGGTTCATTTCACTCTGCAGTCTGCTACTTGTGTTATAATGGCAATGGCAGAGATTGTCCATAATAGAGATTGTATATAATATAATTACAATCTCTGCCACTGTGATTACAACAGTAGCAGCAGACCACAGGATGCAATAATGTTACCCCTTTGCTTATAAACCTTTGTTGTCTTGCTGTTGACTATAGAAAAATGTCTAATACCCTTAACTTGACCCTTCATATCAGAGTTAACGGCCCCTTCCCCCATGTACTCTGTTACTATATTGTGCTGATTTGTTGACATGGCATTCTCACACCTACCCAGTGAATTTCATAAAGGCAGAAACTATGTCGTATTTATCTTTGTACTTTCATCCTTTAATATACAGTTTTTTGAACATGGTAGATATTCATTATAATTTTCAATTTTAAAATGCTACTTAGTAAACTAGATTATTTTCACTCTATTCACATGATGTAATTCAATTCAGGGACTGTCTATTGAATGCCTATTATGTTTTGAAAACTTTCTTAGATTCATGATTTTTTTTAGATTTAATAATTTTTTTCATCAGTTGTCTTTAGAGACTGAGGTCAATTTGTGTTTTTTTTTGTTTTCCTTTAAAAATAGTTTGTTTTCTCTTAGAAAGCAATAGTTAATTCTTTTGATCTTGTTAAATGAAGCTCATTAGACGTTTTACCCATTTTTTTTTTTTCTGGAGTAGAAGATTTTGAACATGCTGGTTGTCTTTGAGCTTGTGTCTTTAGCTTGACTATTTTACCACAGCATTTGGCCAGTCATAGAATGGGATAGATGGGGTGATAGATTTCTAATTTTCTTCTTCTTAATGCCTTTTTTCAGGTAATGCAAAAAGATGTGTGCCAAGTTATATCAAAGCAACTGCAAGACTTAGTGACGTAATGACAACATATATCATTTATTTAGTGTTTCTAAATATGACAGGCACTATGCTAAATCCTAGCTGGATTATTTTATTTAATCTTCATCACATTCACTATGTGAATGACAGCATAAAAGATTAAAAAGAAGTTACATACCTGTTGTTATACAATTATCAAGCAGCATCACATGAAAGATTTAAACTCAACTCTCTTTCTGATTCTTGAGCCCAGATTTTGCCACTACTTCCAGTATTTCTTATAGTTAAATAATGTGCAAACTCCTTGAGAAAAAAATATCCTAAGCATTCTCTCTCCTTGGAGGATCTCTTCAAAAATCCCAGTTTGAGAAATACTGATTTAAGAAATTAAAGCTTTATTCTATGGAAATGCCTTTCAATATGAATTATTGCTACAAAAGAGAAGTTTTAGATTTGTAACGGGGTAAGATGACTTGTTAAAATATTTTCTCAACATAAAAACACAAACCATGCAAATCTCACCTCTTCACAAATTTGTCTTCAGACTTAGGTTCCTAGGCAGTGACAGAACCAAGGGACTATCTTTACCCCTGTAGTAGACATTATGGAGCATAGTCCAGATCTTGCCTTCAGAACCAAGACCCTCATTCCCCTGAGGACCAGAAGTGTTGACTGCTGAGAGTTCACAGCTGATTCCTTCCCCAAGAAATTCTTTTGGCTAAGCAAGTTTATATCCCATTCTTGGAGGCAGCATATTTCCTATGACTAGTTGTTTGGGGTGGGAGTGTGAGGGGGGACTAAGGCCCAGCTCCTTGTTTCAATTTAGCTCAGGTCTGACGGGATATTCAAGCTTCAGAGAATCCTGTGAGAAGGGCTGAAGGCCTCTGCTACAACTGCCTTGCAGGTCAACCTCTTTCTCTCCCTGTCCTGCTTTCCTCACTCCCTCACAAGCATTATGGCTGAGAACACTTCACAACTAACCACCTGTATGTGAATATCTGGCTCAGGAACCAGGAGACTTGTGACAATCTCTAAAGCCACCTCAAGGAAACACTTAACATAAATAAAAACAGAATGATATCTTTGTGTATGCAGCTTAACACAAGACTACAGAGCCTACCTCTCAAGCAGACCGTTGCCTCTTCAGCTCCTCCATCAGATATTCTGGAGAAAAAAAAAACACAAGAACTTTTGACTCTAACACACTGCAAGTGTAGATATTAAGTATCTGCAACAACTTCCTCATCTGTAGACACCATTATATAGAAGTCTCTAATCACTCCCTAGAGCAGAGAATCTATATAACACAAACTGGATACATACAGTTTAGACAAAAACCAACCAGCCAATAAAACAAAATAAAAAAACAAACCATAATAGCAGCTTTAATTATTTTGCTTGGTTTTCTAATTGGCCAAGTAAATAGAAAAGTTGATACTAAATCTCTTCGCTTTGTATCATGTAAATTGTCTAAAATTATAATGTAATATTTAGGCTAAGGCAGCTTAACTGACATTATGAGGATGATAGGATCATATAAACCCATAATGGGAGGTTCTCTGTGGGTTTATGAGGCACTAGTGGCCAATCCTTTTATCCTTTAGTAATCTTAAGCAGGAACAATTTTTATTGAGTTCCAGTAATTGGAGGTGTGCCTGAGTTGCTGAGGAGTAAGAATGCAAGAAATACACCAGAGAAATGCACAGGGACATACACTTATAATTATACTTTGTTTTAGAACATGATTTTGTAAACACGAGAAAGAGATGAGTACAAAATCATCATATGGCGGGTATAAATAACTCAAGCCCCAAATCCATCTGACGCTCAAACTGTCTCCTTTGAATAATTTTGAATTGATAAAGAAAAAATATTACAAAAAATGAACAATTGTCAGATCCATCCTTTTCAAAACTTTGAGTTGTTTAAAAAGAAAAAAATGTATTTGAGATCACAGTTAGAATTAATATACATATATACCTCTATCTTCTGAACTTAGCTCTAGGATAAAATTCCAATGTATTAGCAAAAAAGAAATGAATACACTGTCACATCAAGATCCAAATAATTTCAAGTGTCCCTGTGTTTCCATTGTACAACCATCATGACATACTGAAATAATCAATGAAAGGTAAAAATAATTGTTCTTTTTCATTTAACTGTGCTATGGCAAAAAGAAAACGAGACTAGGGGTCAGGGAAGAAGTTAGGAATAAGATGAATAAGATGCAATACAAGATAACTTTGTGTTACAAATTATTAGTATTATTATAGAAATTAAGAGGAAAACTCTCTTAGGTGGTTAAGATGTGGCAGCTAAGAAAAAATCCAGATGTAAATTCAGAAGATAATTTCTTTGTGTAATCTTTGCTAACTATGTTTATAGAAGTAAATGTCAAGGTAAGCTCGGCAAGGAGCAAAAGAAATGAGTCACATTTCTCTAGTGTCATTCCCAAGATGCTATCTTTTACCTTTCTGAGTATGCACAAGTCTGACACTGGGTGTCTGCTTCTTTATGGAAACAGTGTGCAAACACTCAAATAACAGCAGGATAGTCATTTTTCATACATGCTTTGTTTTCATTTCTATGACTTGGAAAGACTAACTTTCCAAATGCAGAAATCTATGCAGTTGATCTGCAAGTTGAGTCCCTGCTTGCACCCTGGATTTTATAAAGCAATTAGTTTTAAATATGGTCTTGGAAGAGAGGGTGTAAGCTTTTAATTAAAAACCCTTTTCTCTGTATCTTGCTTCCATATTGAACAAAACCAAGTTCTTTTAGAAGTAGAAAGGTGTGAATAAGACTTACCAATACCTTGGCCTTTTTGTGTTTTATTATTATTTTTCTATGTTTATGAGACAGCATCTATCTAATCAACTATTATGTCATAACTTGACAAGTCAAGTGGTGTTAGCCAGTCTCTTTTACAATACATTGGCTTTTGATGTCAAAAATATCAACTAATACTCCTAGGAAAAGACACCGTTTTACAGTTAACTTGTTGCTTTGTAATGAGGGTGGTATGGTCCTCCTCTTGACACCCTGAATCACTATCTCATTTTTAAAAATTTTACATTTTCTTAACTTCTGAACTTTCTGAAAATACTTTGTTACTTCTATTTCCTCGCTGCCTACTAATTTTTAATTTCCCTATGGTCTGAATTTAGCCCCATCACTTTCCTGAAATTTTCTTCATCGTCACCAGTGACATTTTAGAAAACAAATCTAAAAGCTTTTTAAACTGACTCATTTTTTTGACCTCTTCCTAGCATTTGCTTCATTGACTGCCCTCATTGCTTTGAAACTCTTCTTTGTTACCTTAACTTCCATGACCCGGTATAAAACAAATTCTTGCAACCAGCAGCACATCCTTTCAATTTCTCTATTTTGGTCATGGCTGAAAACCATGAACTTATTTCTGATTTATCTCTATTCCTTTCCTCCCAAGTCTTGTCTATTTTTCCTCTGTAATTTTCTATCTCTTCTTCCCAAATCTCCTATTACCACCCTTGTCCAAGTCTACGTCATACTTGTTCTTCTTAACTGGTTTCTTTGTATTCAGTTTTTTCCTCATTCCAATCATTACAAAACTACTGCCAATTTTTTCCCCAAAACAATTTTTATTGAACAAGTCATTCCATCATGCTCTGTTTGGAAGAGGCTGGATTCAAGCCAGTTGGGAATGCAACTGTTCTGATGATATATTTCCCCTAAATTAGACAAATTGTTCCAGCAAAGATTCAGAGAAAACACATCAGCATTCATCTTGGATATAGATGCTGAGGCCAATTTAATCTGAAATGTTGGTTAGATTGCATGAGCTAAAGGTCAGAACTTTGCTTTCAATGACAACTTGAAGAGTTGGAAGTTGGAATGGAGCCAGTGAAAGAATGTGCCGAAGAATGTAAGAGGCTCTAAACCAGAAAGAGCAGGTCAGTGTGAGAACAGATGAGGGAAGATGTTAAACAAGTTATCAAAGGAAATGGAAGTCAGGGGACTAGGGTGAGCAAATTTTGGTTGATAAATTACTAGAGAGAATGTGGGGATGAGAAGGGAGTGGCGAAGCTGAGTTCTATAGTATATGCTGTTACTTTTGCCTTAGGAATAAAGGTGTGCTGATTGAACTTAGGAAAGTTGGTAAGAGGGAGGCAAAGGACTTTCTAGGCTGATTTTCCAGAGAGTGGTTCTTCCATGAATTCTTTTATATGACCTTGTTGTTTTCCTCACATGAATCTAACAATTTTTCTGTAGCTCATTCCCACATATCTGCCATATTTCCTGTCTATCATGCTGTTATCTTTCTTCTCTGCTTTCATGAACTCTACCTTTATTTTAAAAGCCAGCTTATATTCTATCTGCACCATATAGTTTTTGGTTCAAAGCAATGGAAGCAAACACTGGCTAACTTAATCTGCCCTTACCTATTCATTCCCCTGAGAGGGTTTGGGGAGTCAGCATTTGTGGGAAGGACTCACATAATCCACAGAAGGCTAGAAGATCAGGGTTGAGGTACTTGGTACCAAGGCAGCTCTGGAAGCTTAAGAAGCAGGAGGCACAGCAAGAGTCTCATGGAAAGAAGAGCTTGGTAACGACTTGGTCACTACCATTACCCCTGCCATGACCTTGACCTCCAACTACCCCTGTCCTTGCGTCCTCCTCTAATTCAAAGTCCTACCCATAGAAAATCCAGTTGGCCCAAATTTAGTCACATGTCCATCCCTTGTCTGGTCCAGTTGGTGGAAGAGATCTCTGCTTCCACAGTGCATAGAGAACAATAGCTCCAACCAAGATTAAAGATGCTGGGGCCTTTCCCAAAAGGGAGAATAGAATTTTGTTAGGAAAAGGAGTCTCAGAGGCCCTGAGGGTAGGAACTTTATTTTTGTATTCTAGTACTCAAAAAAGGATTCTGCACACAACCTGTAATAAGTACTTTTTTGAAAGATGATATTGACCTACTGTTTCATTTTTGGTGGATTATGTCCTGTGAAAATGACCTGCATGTTTTATTTAGTTTAAGGTGGGATGAATCAGAGGAGGGCAACTGACATTTATTACATACTTACTTTAGGTACCATACAGACTATTTTCTCTTGTAATAATAATGATAATAATAACTAGCATTTATTTAGCTTATTATTATTAATTTAGCTTATGTATGAAACTCATTGATTTAGATACATTAGCTTATTTAATCCCCATAACAATTATTCAAGATAGGTCTCATTTTTTTTTTGTCAGATATGAATACTATTGGCTAGAGAGTTTAGTAACTTTCCCAAAGTTTCACAGAAGATAATATAGAGAAGCAACTCAAAACTATTTCTGTCTAATTCCAAAGCACTTTTAACATTTTGTACTGCTTAAGTAGCAAGAGTTTGGAAGAACATACAATATCAATAAATGTTTCATGTCCGTCGTCATTAACTACTCCAGTAAGTATCAGCAGGGAACTTATTTGAAATGTACATTTTCTGTCCCCCAAAAGATCTATGAAATCAGAAACTCTGGAGGTTGGGCCCAGAAATCTATCTTTTGGCATGCTCTCCAGGTAAGTCTAATGTACACTATGGCTTTGAGAAGTACTGACCTACACCCCTTCTCACTGTTTGCATCTTTATGTGGTGCCACAGCTCTATAAATTGTGCTAAACCTTTATGGTCTGATTATTGTATTCTTTTGTATGCCATCATTTAAACTTTGTTTGTATTTTTTTATTTTCCAATTTCTATTTTGAATTTATCCAGATGTAGTCTTGTAGACTGCTCTTACTGAACTGAAGTCTCACATATATGAGAAAAATGTAAAAACATATGTGCAATGCACATGTAGGCTTCATGTCTATTTGCCTAGTGTACTGAACTATTTTTCTCCTTTCTTTTCTCTGAATGTGTTTTATCTGCTGTGAGGAAAACAGAATGAGAAATGAAAATCCATGCAGCCAAGACTCATCTCTGCTACTTCATACCCTTTCCCAGGTTTTAGACAGTGACTTCACATTGCCTTCTCTTTCATCTCTTGCTGGAATCTCAATAAGGGTGTCAAACTATTAATTATGATGATATATTTTACAGAATTTGCCTTGGATTCATTGAGAATCTGCCAAGATGATCAAGATTTGACCACTTACAAATTAAATATTCATTGTCTATGCTCTAAAATGTAAAGATTGTCTGCTGATCACTGGGCCACAACACTTTTCAAGACCAGATAAGGTATTCCAAATGAATGAAGGTTCCCTGCCCTGTTCCTCTCACCTGCATGTCAAGCAGGTTGAACGTTATGAAAGTGGTTTTGAAGATAATGCTAGAATTTATGAATGTCTTCCTCCTTTTCAACAGGGACATGAGTCGGGAAGGGCAAGATGAATAGTTAGTTATCTTTCCCTTCTTTACACAACTCTCCTGTTATAGTTATTTAAAAAGTGCATTTTACTTAACTCTTTAATTCGATTAATTTATTTTAATTTTTAAGTTTAAAATACAAATGAAGTAAGTAAATTTAATTATTTTTAATTGCCTAGATTAGGTTCTAGTTACTTCTTCTTGTATCTTTAAGGAAAACAATCTGAGTGTTTATCACTAGGATTTTGCTTCTGTATTTAAAATTTCCTTGATAAAAAGAAGCTTATTAACTTATTATTTTGTTACATTAAGTGCCTATGCTAGCATTTATTTAGGCAGTGTTTGTTTAGTCAATGGTTATTGAATATGGGATTGAAAGTGTCTTCTAAATCAATGAACAATTATTATCTCTCTCCTGAACTTTTAAATTTTTTGAGATACATATTAGAGATGCTTGTATATGAAATTTACTTGAAAATTAATGGCACTACCCAGAAACTCTGATTACCTGTACTTGGTCTCTCTATACTCTAGTCATTCAATTAGCTTTTCAACTGTTTTTTTTTTCTTTATTTTTTATTACTAAGGATAAAATGTTTAGTTTTCTGGTGTTTTTTCCTATCCACCAGCCCAAGGAAGATAAGAGAAACACGGAGCGGCCCAGGATCCAACCTACAGCTTCAAGCTAAGCTCATTCAAGCCCAAACTAGGTCAGCTAACCCCTAGACAATGCACAAATGTGTGATCGAGAAATAAAGAGATTTGGTGTGGTGGCTCACTCCTGTAATACCAGCACTCTGGGAGGCAGAGGTGGGTGAATCTCTTGAGCTCAGGAGTTTGAGACCAGGTTAAGCGACATGGCAAATTCCTATCTCTACAAAAGATACAAAAAATTAGCTGGATCTGGTGGTATGTGCCTGTAGTCCAGCTACTTGGGAGGCTAAGATGGGAGGTAAAGGTTGCTGTGAGCTGAGATTGTGCTGTGCCATTGCACTCTGGCCTGGGCAACAGTGAGACTGTCTCAAAAAAACCAAGACAGAAACAAAAAACCCAAACAAACAAAATTAAAAGGTAAAAGAAAAATTGTTTTAGAGCCACTGAATTTCAAGCATTGTTTGTTAAATAGCATTATGCCAGCAATGAATGAATGATACAATCAGGTTTTCATTCATAATTTCCTTTCCATCCTTAATGCTACCATCCTATTATTTAGACTATTGCTAGACTGCTGAGAAGTCTTTCAACCTTTGGATGATTTTCCGCTCACTCTATTTCATGCAACACACCAGCTTATTCTTCCTGTTCTAAAATATTCAATGATTTTGTATTATTTTCCAAATGAAGTCTGGTTAAGCATTCCGTCTCCATTTAGCAAAATTCTATCCATCCTTTGATGTCCATCTTAAATGTCACCTTCTTTAGGAACCTGCTATCATCCTCTCAGCTGATGCGCTTTCCTTTTCCTATGGACTTCTATAACACATATTTCATGAAACTTGTCAGATTCAGCCATGAATTATGGTTTTTAAGTATACTATTCTATTCTAAACTTTGGAATGTGACTACCTCTCAAAAGGAATGATATGTGATTTTGGTTTCCTCTACTCACAACTTTATGTTTTTGCACAAAATATGTCTTCTAATAAATATTGTTTAATTGAATTTGTAGTCCACTACTCATGAAACTCCCATGCCACATAAGACTCGCTTTCCCTGGGTCTTCATATCATCAGCAGCAGCAGCAGTGAAGTAAGGATCTGCATTCTGTTTCTTGAAAACATTCCTCCCCCTTTCCCACCAAAGCTTACATTGTCTTAACTGCTAGATTCCTTAAGATCAAATTATGCTCATTTTGCTCTTTGTCATGTTTTTGGTGTAATCACAAGAAGCCCAGGACCCACAGGCAATTCCTGCTACTGGTTTCCATCCCCTCAGTCTCTGCATATCAGATTTTCCTGCTGCATTCCCAACAGCTTTCCAAATCCTGAAGCCTTATTTCTGTGCCTCTGGTGGTCTTCACCAAAATCTTGTACATCTTCTAATCTCTAAATGTTCAGTTGACCTTTCTCTAGCCAAAACCTGTCTCTCCCATGAAGTCAACACTTCTACATCACCTTCAAGTCTGTTTTATTTTTTCTCTCACATTCCTATTATCACTTGGATCACAGTTGGGGTAGTTATTGCTCATAGTCTTCCTTGCTTCTTTCAATACAGTTTTCTTCCCGTCTGTTCCTGCTTTGATCTCATATCACTAGGTTATACTACTTATTACCCTTACTTGTTGTAGTCCATTATAAATCTCTGGGTCATTTTTTGTTTCTCAAATACTTTTTTCTTTTCTTTTCTGTCTTTCTCTCTCCTTTCCTTTCCCTTCCTCCCCCTCTCCCTCCTGCTTCCCTTCCCCTCCCCTCCCACATCCCCCTTCCCCCTCCTCCCCCTCCCCCTCCCCCTCCCACTCCCCTCTCCCCTTCTCTTCTCTTTGTTTTTCTGAGATGGAGTCTTGCTCTATCACCCAGGCTGGAGTGCAGTGGCATGATCTCAGCTCACTGCAACCTCTGCCTCCCAGGTTCAAGCAATTCTCCTGCCTCAGCCTCCCGAGTAGCTGGGATTACAGGTGCCTGCCACCACACCCAGCATATTTTTGTATTTTTAGTAGAGATGGGGTTTCACCATGTTGGCCAGGCTGGTCTTGAACTCCTGCCTTCAGGTAATGATCTGCCTGCCTCAGCCTCCCAAAGTGCTGGGATTACAGGTGTGAGCCATCATGCCTGGTCTATTGAAGACTGATTTCTGAATGACAGTCATACTCTTTAGCAATAATAAGAAGTCTTGGCGATTTTAATATCTTCTATTTCAATATCTGCAATCGTTAATTTTATTTGTCAACTTGACTGGGTCATGGGATGTCCATATAACTGGTCAAATATTCTCGGTGTTTTTGTGAGGATGTTCTTAGGTGAGATTGATATTTAAACTGGTAGACTTAGGTAAAGCAGATTGCTTTCCTCAAGGAGGGTGGATCTCATCCGATCAGTTGAAGGTCTGAAAGAACAATAAGTTCAACTCTCACCTGAGTGAGAGAGAATTCTCCTGCCTGATGTCCTCTGAACCTGGGACATTGGCTCTTTCTGGTTCTATAACAGACTGCTGGTCTTTGGACTCAAACTGGGACATTGGCTCTGCAGATTTTGGGCTTGCCAACCTTCATAATTATGTGAACCAATTCCTTATAATAAACCTCTTCATGTCTATCTATTAATGTCTATCTTTTTCATATTGGCTTTGTTTCTCTGGAAAACCCTGATGAATACCGTATCCTTCTGATTCTCACAGTTTCTGGACTTGCTTTTTTTGTGGAAATGTCTCTACTCACTATGTTCAATTTCTCTCACTTATTCTCTCTTGGTCCCACTAGAATTGGGCTTTCACTCTTACCATTTCATCAAAACTACTCTTCTCAAGTTCTCTAGTGATCTACCCATAGCTAAATTCAATGCTTCAATTCTCAGTCCTCATTTTACTGATTGAAACTATATTGAGAGTCCAGCCACCTTTGCTACTGCTATTCTGGTCACAGCGGGCATCACCTTTCACGTCAGCTAGTAAAATAGCCTCTTGCCTGGTCTCCCTGCCATCCCTGGGTCCTCATAGAATTTACTCTCCATGTAGTAATATGATACTTTTTGACTTCATGAAGTATACCTCATGATATATTTTCACCTCTTGCACTACTGTTCCTAGTTCTCTCTGTTCTTACCACCCTGGCTTCTTTGCTGGTTTTCAAACCTCCCAGGAATGCCTCAGGCTTTTGGACTCGCTCTTCCTTCTACCTGGAACATAGTTTCTCTAGGTAGCTACAAAGAACAGTATAGATCTTTTTCAAATGTCTCCTACCAGGGAGGGCTTTTCTGACAACCTTGTCTAAAATTGCTATCTTCATCCTATTCCTACCCTTCCAGCTATCTTTTCATTCTCTGTTTTTCTCTGATTTTTTTAAAAAATGGTATTTGTCAGCATCTAATATATTATGTACTTTGTTTGTTTATATTTATTTTTTGGAGTTCAGTCTCCCTTCCCATTCCACTAGAATGTAAACTCCACAGGGACAGAAGTTTTGATCTATTTTGTTTGCTATGGTGCTCCCTGTAACTAGAATATTACTTGCACATGATAGTGTTAAATAAATATTTGTTAGCTGGATTAATGCTGTCAGTCACAGAAAAAAAAGTGCATATTTTCTTGTCAGTTTCAGAAATGAGATTTTACTAATGTAGAAAGAGTATTTTCCTCTCCAACAACAATACAGACTTATTTAAAATATAATCAACAGGAAATACTTAATCTCTCAAATTTTATTCTATTAAGTCAGTTGTAGCTATCCAAAAGCTCTATGTGCTATTTGTACTAAAATGCCAGTCGCTACTGTAACTTCATGTTATATAATAGTATCTAGGTAGCAAAGGGAAAAAAACCCATGTACTGAACTGCTATTTTAGTGAATATTCAGTTATCATCTAGTTGTCTAAACTTCTAGCACAATCCATTGTGAACACTTATTTTCTGTTTACAATAAAAGACATTGGTATGGTGTTTCAAAAGGATCACTTTAACCTGCGTAGACAGTACTTTGGTGAACTTGCTGAGAAATGGAATTGACCAAAACCTCTTGCCAAATTAGATATTTGACCCAAGACAAATCAGGACACTAATTTGGATGTTTTATCATTTTTCTGCTCCGTGCCCAGACCGTAACATGCTTTCAAAACAATAATTAATGCTGACTGAATTCTAAGAATTTATTTTTAATCCTGATTTTACAGATGAAGAAGCAAATGGGAAGAAGTTAAATGACTTATTTAAAGCCCCATCACAAATTAACAGCAAGCTGGAACTCTATGTAAGGCACTCTTGCCTCATGTTTCTAAGTTTATTAGTGTCATGTTCTCATGCCACGGTAATTACTGGAAACCAGTCTTGGGGAACATAACTGATCTTTTAGGGTGCTGCTATGATGACTAGAGACTTCCCCATTAAAATTCACAGCCTCAAATAAGACCTGGTTCACATTGATAAAAATGGAGCTCTAACCTGTGTTTCTGTTCTTCAGGAAGAAGCATCACTTTGGTGGCTCCCAACCTTTTAGATAGAGGAGCTAAAATAATAGACTTAACAGAAAAATTAAGATTTCCATATATTCTGATGTTAGTACAAAGTAGTATTATGGTCTATAAATAAATCTGGGGTTGGAGTTTCCTTCTCAGAGATGATATAATTAAGTTCGATGTCATTTTATTAGGCAGTCACACATGCAATTAATCAGATGCGGAGTAGCTTGTGAATCAGACTGAATGAGTTCCTAACAGGGTATAGCGGATTCTTACTGAATCTTGCCTTAGGGGAAAGGCTCCTTTCTTTCTGTTAGAAAGAAAAGCTTAAAAGTATAATTATATTTGGTAAAAAGTGCCAATTGGTTGATAAGATTATTTTGTTATTCTTTCATATTCTTAGTTTCCTCATCTATAAAACAGTGATCATAATATCTCTAATGAAGCTGTTGTAAGAATTAAATGAAATAATCTAAGCTGATTTTAGTACAGTTCTTGGCACATGGTAAGTGCAACATAATATCAGTATTATCACTCTTCTTCCTCTGTCTTATTATTATCATTAGCAAATGACGATGAGAACATGTGTTCTCCAGATGAATAGGAATGGGAAGAGTGAGGGATATTTTTTATCTCTTGTATTTGAAAGACTGGTTACAGGAGCTTTTATTGCCAGTTGCAAGATGAGAACATCAATTACTTTAG